GGTATCTTTTTAAGGATTTTTGCATCTATGTTCATTAGTGAGATTGGCCTATAGTTCTCTTTTTCAGTTGGGTCTTTCTCTGCCTTGGGGATCAAGGTGATGCTTGCTTCCAGGAATGAAGTTGGGAGTATTGCTTCCCTTTCAATTTCATTGAAGAGTTTAAACAGTAGGGGCAGTAGTTCCTCTCTAAATGTCTTGCAGAATTCAGCAGTGAAGCCATCAGGACCTGGGCTTTTCTTAGTTGGTAAGTTTTTAAGCCTTTTGTAGTACCTGTGGACAGCTCATTTTTTTTTTTTTTTTGGTACCGGGGATTGAACTCAGGTCCTTGCCCTTAGCAGCAGGCAGCGAAACCACTGAGCTAAATCCCCGGCCCCTAGTTGGTAAGTTTTTAATTACATTTTCAATTTCATTGATTGATATTGGGTCATTTAGAATTTTTAGGTCTTCTTCATTCAACTTTGATAATTCATATGTATCTAGGAATCTGTCCATTTCTTCTGTGTTTTCCATCTTTTTGGCATATAGGTTCTCGAAGTAGGTATTGGTGATCCTCTGGATTTCTGCTGGGTCTGTTGTAATTTCACCCTTTTCATTCCTAATTGCATGGATTTATGGCCCCAGTTTATCTAGTTTTTAAAACAATAGCACCATGCCTTAAAATGATTTGTCAGTCATGACTGAGGTAAAGGTTTTTCTTTTTTTTCCTCTTCTTTTTGTGGTACTGGGGATTGAACTTAGGGCCTTTACACTGAACTATACCCCCACCCTTTTTTTATTTCTTATTTTGAGACAGAGTGTCACTAAATTGCCCAGACTCAGCTCAAACTTGAGATCTTCCTGCCTCAGACCCCCAGATTGCTGGGATTATAGGCATGCACTAAGAAGTATTTTGTGAATCTTAAAATTGAACTTAAAAAGAAAAAAGTTTCACATCTACTAAAAGCTATATTTTAATTTTGGGCTACACTAATAGGTATTGGATACCTATAGTACCAACCATTCAGGAAGATGAGATAGGAGGTTTCCAAGTTTAAGGCCAGTCAGGACAGTTTAATGAGATCCTGTCTCAAAATTTAAAATAAGGTGGATATATCTCAATGGTAACGTACCCCTGGATTCAGTCCCCAGTATAGGGAGAGAAAAATTGAAGCAAGGAGATCAGTTGAGTCTGCAATTGTGTCTATCTTGAAGATACTTTGTTTTTGCACATGTTTTTCAAGACTGTAATGATCTGTTTACATAGCTGTCCCCCTTGCTTTTTTGGACATTCCTTGAGGGCAGGATTCACATGTCACTTGCCTTTATAGTCTCAACAACTATCCTAATACCTGACATTTGGTAGATAGCTAGATAGAGTTGAATCAAATTGAACTAGAAATACTTAGCTTAATACAAGAAGAAGGCAGACAGGGATCTCCTGTAATCCCAGCACTCAGGAGGTTGAGGCAGGAACATTGTGAATGCAGGTTAGCCTGGGTTACAATAGCAAGTACAAGGCCAGCTTTTATAATTTAGGAAGATTTTGAGTCAAACACAAAAAGGCAGAGCAATATATAATCAGTCTTTCAGATATTTGAAAGGTTCTCATGTGCAAGAGAGGTTAAATTTGTTCTGTATGACTTCAGTAGACAGAGAACCAATGGGTGGAAATGTTAGGAATTTTCTAAGTGTTAAGAATTGTATAAAGTTACATGGTGCTGTCTCACGGGGTGCTAAATCTTTCTCAAGGAGATGGATGTCTCTTGTGGCACAAACTTGTAATCCCAGCACTCTGGGAGGCTGAGGCAGGAGCATCTCAATGTGAGCCCAGCCTAGGCAATTTAATGAGATCCTGTTTCAAATTTTTTTTGGGTTTTTTTGGTACCGGGGATCGAACCCGGGCCCTTGTGCTTTCGAGGCAGCCGGCAGAACCACTGAGCTAAATCCCTGGCCCCTCAAATGTTTAAAAAAGTGTGTGTGGGGGGGGTCATGCCGCTCCATGTAGAGGCCTTGGATTCAATACCTAGTAACTAACAATAAAAACAACAAAAAAACAGGAGATGGATGTGTTTTGAATTTTGTTTTTTCACTTTGTTGTAGATTTGGCATGTACACACATGTGCCTATTTTTGTCATTTTTCACAGAAACAAAAATACTAACCTTCTTATTTGATTTTTTTTTTCATAGTCAAGTTTATCCGAGAAGTAACACCATATATCAAGAAGCCATCCCTGGTATCAGATCTGCCATGGGAAGGTGCAGCTCCCCAGTCACCAAGCTTTAGTGGCAGTGAGGACTCTGGTTCTCCAAAACACCAAAACAGCACCAAGGACAGGAAGGTCATCCCTCTCAAAATGTGCTTCGCTGCTAGAAACCTAAGCATGCCGGATCTGGAAAACAGGTAAGCTGTACCTAACAAGAACATCATACTTTTAGCCTTTAACCTAAGGACTTGCTGCAATGTTACATGACTCTGATAAATAATATAGACAGAGGAAAACGTCAATCGGAGATGTAAGATTCATTTTTGAAGTTCTACATTTAAATTATTTCACATATCTGTACAGGTATATATGTAAGAAAATGTTTGGACAGACACTAGGAACTGTTAATGTTGGTTACCCTGAGGGGTGAAATGATAGAGAGTATTGTATTTTTTTGGTTGGGTTTCTTTTAAAAGTTTAAGGTATTGTAGAAATCATTTCATGTTACCTATAGGTTTATTCCTAAAAGGCAATGTGTGTTGCATCATCTAAATGCAGTACAGCTTGATCTTTCAGGAAGTTCTAGGCCAGGCATGGTGGTGACACATGCCTGTAATCCTAGCACTAAGAAGGCTGAGGCAGGAGGATTGCTGCAAGTTTGAGTCCAGCCTGAGCTATATAGTGAGTTCAAGGCCAGCCTAGTGAAACAATGTCTCATAAATAAAGTTCTACTATTTTGTCATAAAATAAGAATTTAACTTGTAAAGCAACTAATCACCTCTTTCTTAAAACCATATTGTGCTAGGGCCAGGGATTTAGCTTAGTGGTGCCACTCCCTGCCTCACAAGCGCAAGGTTCTGGGTTTGATCCCCGTACCAAAAAAAAAAATACTGTGCTAGAGGTGGTGGCACATACCTGTAATCCCAGCACTCTAGAGGCTGAGACAGGAAGATCCCTATGAATTCCCTTCCAGCCTAGGCTACATACTGAGTTTAAGGCCAACCTGAAAAAATAAATAAATTTTTCTTCACATTGGATAGATTTATATTGAGCCTTTGGTCTGTTAATCATGGACTTAAAACACAACAAATAGAGACCATACAGAAGGAAATAGAATAAGGAAACAGTGTGATAAAGAAGAACAGATTATGGGGCCGGGGATTTAGCTCAGTGGCACTGTGCCTGCCTTGTAAGCGCAAGGTCCTGAGTTCAATCTCCGGTACTGGCAAAAAAAAAAAAAGAACAGATTATAATTAAAATTGTCAACTATGTCAGAAGACAGTAGAAAGACTAAACTCCCTTTATTATAAATCATTTCTAGGAATAGATGTCTATATTGCTGCTAATATTAGAATAAATAAGGGCCCGGGATTTAGCTCAGTGGCACCGCACCTGCCTTGCAAGCACAATTCCTGAGTTCAGTCTCCGTACCGGAAAAAAAAAAAATAATAAATAGCAAAAGTATTGTGAAATTTCTGTAAAAATTTTCTGCAATTGTTGGAACAGTGAAAGAAGAAAGGAAAGTCATGTGTCTTGGCTGTATTGCTAACGTTATGTTGTCCTTATCGTCCACCCATACATCTTTTAGGACCTGGTAACCTTGGCCTTCCTCAAAACTTGGGGCCGGTATTCTCTTTAGTATACATATTTATATCTTGAAGACATTTGGTGATGATCAGGTTAGAACCAAATGGAGAGAGTAGTTTAGCACTACAAGAGTTCCATGACTCTTCTCTTTTCAGTATTATTATTATTATTGGAGAGTAAGTAGTTCCTAATTTTACATGAAATACCAAAATGTATAAATTATTTGTGCTTTTTGTAAACCATAAATTAGAATAAATTCAAGGTTATACCCATGATAATATTACTTCAACTTGCACTCCCGTGTGCTTCTTTAGATAAGAGAAAAACAGAATTATAAGTAGTTTGGTAGGAATTATCCATAACTTTGGTTATACTCATCAGGATCTGAACCCTTCTCCTGTGTCATGGTAGAAAAAGTATATAGACTCATTGAGAGTTAGAAGACAAAAGTTTAAAAGATAGGCTTGACTTTTTTATATACCTTGATTTCCTCCTGTATAAAATAAAAATTATAGGCAAATTCAAAGAGAAAATGATTGTAAACTTGACATAGTAAGTTCGTAAGACATTAACAGGTACAGTTGATGTCTTTGTGTCCTTATATAAGTTCTATAATTTCTCCCATTTTTCCTATGTAAAATGGACATAATGCCTATTCAGCTGTTACCAGGTAGTCCCCTTCTAAAAGTGGCTCACTAAATAAACATTACCAGGTTTTTGGATGCTCACATCTAGAGTTGGATTCAAGGTTCTTCTCATCTCAAGCAAAGAACTGAGTGAAATGAGAAAGAAATGCTGGCAAAGTTTATCTGAAAAAGTAAAAATGAAGTATGAGGAAGAAACTGGCTCAACAATGAGCTTGGGCTGAGTAAAAGATGAAAAAGCAAGATAGAAGTACACCCTGAAGGACACAGGGCAGGCTATCCTGAGAAAAGCCACCATAGTGAGCTCTTCTTGGCATCTGTGTCCTTTTATGCCATCCAAATCCTGAGGGGAACCCGAGAACTTCTACATACAGGTCCTAAGAGACGGTCCTGGGATCCTATGCCTCTTTTCCCAGCCAGTCTAAGCCACACCTATGTCCTGTCTCACAACTGTACCCTTTAGAATTTCTTGAAGCTTAAATAAGATAATATCTATAAAATCACTTGGAGTTTTTTGGTCCTTAATTTGATCTCAACTCTGTCAGAGGAAATGTCAGTCTATCTATTGTCTTACTGATGGCCACTGGAACTACTTATAGTTTGGAGCTATTTATTTTGAATACTTTTGTATATGTGTTTTTGTGGACAGACATTTTCATTTTACCGGGTAAATTCATAAGAGTGAAATTGCTAAATCAAAGGAGAGGTTTACATTTGGTTTTAAAGAAATTGGCAGACTTTATTCCAAAGTAGTTATGCCATTTTAGATTCCCACCAACAAAATATGAGAGCTTCCATTGCTCCATTTCCTCTCCAACATTGGTATCATTCCTTTTTTAAAAAAATTTTGACACAGACCCGAGCTGAGTTGCTCAGCCTCGGCTGGAACTTACAATCTTCCTGCCTCAGCCTCCCAGAGTGATGGGATTACAGGCATGCACTACCATGCCTGGCTTGATATTAGTCTTTTTAATATTCACCATTCTGCTGGGTGTGGAGAGGAGTCTGTGTGTGGTTGATTTATCCTCCATTTTTATGTAAAGGCTTCAGTTTTTATTTTTTCTCACTACTGGGGGTTGAACCCAGGGCTTTTCTAGTAGGCTACATCCCCACCCCTTTTTATTTTTTAATTCTTTTTTTGAGATAGATTCTCACTATGTAGTTTAGGCTGGCCTCAAACTCACTATGTAGTCCATACTGGCCTCAAACGCATGACAATCCTCCTGTCTCAGCCTCCCAAGTGCTGAGATTACAGGCATGTGCTACCATGCCTGGCATAATTCATTTTATTTTATTATTTTAATTTGGTTTTTTGAGATAGGGTTTCACTATGTAGCCCAGGGTGGCCTCAAACTGACAATGTACCCTAGGCTGTCCTTGAACTCGAAGCAGTTCTCCTGTTTCAGCCTTCTGGGTACTAGGATTACAGGTGTGCACCACCAGGCCTGGCTGTGTTTTTTATTTTGAGACAGGGTCTCACAACATTGCTGGGCCTGGGCTAGAATGAGTGATCCTCCTACCTCACTCTCCCAGCGTGCTGGGATTGCAGGCATGTGTTGGCTAAGCCTTTACTTTCTATACCAAAAACTTGGCCAACCATCCTGGCACATGCCAGGAATCCCAGCACGCTGGAAGGCTGAGACAGAAAGATCTCACATTTGAGTCTAGACTAGGGACCTAGAAATTTAGCAAGACCCTATCTCAAAATTTAAAAAGGGCTGAGCTGGGGATTTAGCTCAGTGGTGCCGCCGCCTGCCTTGCAAGGGCAAGGTCGAGTTTGATCCCCAGTACCAAAAAATGAATGAATGAATGAATGAATGAATGAATAAGTTAATTAATTAAAAAGGGTTGGATACATAGTTCAGTGTGAAGGCCCTGGGCTCAATCTTTAGTACCACAAAGAAAAATAAATCAATCAAAAACTTACTTTAAATTAGAGAGAAACAATCATTTTTTACTATTTTACTACTTTAATTTTGTTCCATTCTATAAAGCTGGAACAAGTTGCTAACCATCAGAGTGAAGAAGGGGGAGGAGGAAGTTTACTCCCTTCCTCCTGCCGTGAATTTTCATGCCCTCACTACATGCAGCTGGTAATTATAAGTTTTTCATTCAGGAAAGTGAAAGATAAATAAATAATGATGAAGTCCAGGGAGAGAACATGAGCCCCTTTCTTAGCAAATAGCATTGTGAGTAGTATGAAATCTAACAAGAACACTGCTTTTTGGAAGTGTAAATTTGTCCTTTGCACTGATTCATGATGTCTCAGTCATCTTCATCATGGCTGTTTTCCATATAAAAGGTAAATTTTAGCTTTATGGCTTATGAAACTACATGATTATTACTAAATTGAACAGGTAAGTTATGTTGAAGCCTTGCTAAATAGAAATAAAATGGGCTGAACTTACAGAATCCTATGCATCTGTGTACCTAGACACAGATTTGATTCATGTGATCAAAATGTAATTGCATTTCTGAGGAAATCCTCAGTGGTTTGACTAGAGGCCAAAATGTTTCACATTGTGGCTGTCTCCCCTTTGTCCTGGGCCCGATCACTGGCAGACTGCCACCATACTTTTATTAGCAGAGTTTTCTGTTGAAAAAAAATTTTTTTGAGACAGGATCTCGCTGTGTAGCCCAGGCTGGTTGGTCTTGAACTCACAGCAATCCTCCTGCCTCAGCCTCCCAAGTTACCATGCCCTGCTGAAATTTTCTTTTATAATAATGCCAGGCATAGAGCCAGGAATGTCTCCATAGCATAGTGTCTGCCAGGCAAGCACACGGCCCTGAGTTTGACTCCTGGTACCAAATGAAAAAGAAATGCTAGGTATGGAGGTGCATGCTTGTGATCCCAGCACTCGGGGAGGTTGAGGCAGGAAAATTGCTGCAGGTTCAAGGCCAACCTGGGCTATTACATAATGAGTTCAAGAGCATCCTAAACTGCATAAAGAGGCCCTGTCTCAAAAAGCTACACACACACAAAAAAACAAAATTTTCTTTTTGGTGTCAGGGATCAAACTCAGATCCTTCCGCTTGCACAGCAGGTGGCGAAACCACTGAGCCAAATCCCCGGCCCACAAATTTTCTTTTAAAACAGCAGTAGACTAGAGCTGGGCATGGTGGCACATTCCTGTAATCTCAGTGCTTTGGGAGGCTGAGGCAAGAGGATTGCAAGTTTGAGCCCAACCTAGGCAATTTAGCAAGACTATCTCAAAATAAAAAGGGCTATAGCAAGCACAAGGTCCCGAGTTTGATGCCCAGTACAAAAAAAAATAAAAGGGCTGAGGATGTAGTTGAGTTCAGAGGCCCTGTGTTCAATGTCTAGTTCTGCAAACCAAATGAAAAACTAGCTCTAGACTTTAGGTATTCCTTTGTCCCTTGTAACAGATTATTTTCTGTTCTTCCGGTTATTAATAACTAAGATCTTTGATACCGTGACTTTTAGAATTTAGACATGTCTGAGATTGTCCCAGGAGCTGTGTGAAGTGTAGCTACCTTTTCAACATGAACATTTTGTGTCTAGGGAAGGATGAACTGTTCCCTATCTTTACTGCTAAGTATGTCAGGAGGAGGAGTGAAGAAAATTTCTCAAATGTTTAGCCGCCAAACTTTTGGCATGTGTTTAAAATATGTTATTCTGTTTACAGTGCCAAAGCAACCAGGAAGTAAATAGCCCAAAAATGGTCAGCCTGATGATGTCTGGTTTGAACTAAGGACATCACTGCCTCTCCCACCCAGTTTGGTGGGACAAGAATGGAGCCTAATCTTTTGCTAGGATGAGTGGGGCAATCACTGGATGAAACAGATCTTCAAGCAGCCACTTTATATTAGCTACATGCCTTATTCCCACTTCCAGAGATAAATGATGTCACCAATTCCCCAACCTCTTAAGGATTGTATAGCATGGATTGGCTGGGATTTGGCTCTTCCCACTTTCTTAAGTCTAACTACTCATTTAACTCCTGTGTCTGCTTGCCAGCTTCCAAAATTTTGTTGTAGGTGCCCCTCTCTTGTTCTCCCTGAGCTTATCAGGTTGTGCTTTTTAAAAATCCTCTAAATTTGACAGTGATTTCTTACACCAAAAGCATAGTCCTTAAAGAAAAAATTGACAAGTTGAATTTCATTTAATTGTAAAATATCTCTGCAAAAGACTTAAGGAAATGAGAAAAAAAAAGAAAGAAAGAAAATGAGAGTTGGGTGTGGTAGTGCATGACAGTAGTCCTTTAGCTCAGTGTTTCTGCTGCCTGCCTCGCAAGCGGAAGGACCTGAGTTTGATCCCCAGTACCAAATAAATTAATTAATTAATTAAATAGAGGCTAGTACAATGGACCCTTGAAATTCATGGAGTTACATTCCTGAAACACTCATGAATTGTGAAAAACCTCGAATTTCAGATAAAAATGCCTATAAATGCCCATTTTTTATAGTTTAAGCCCCAAATATGCTGTGTTTCCTGCAGCTATATAATTTAATTTAATAAAATACTGTATTAATAAAGCCTTAGAAGGTGCAGGTGTTTTGGCAGCATCTTAGGGATCTTAGGGCTTTAAGAAGAAGAAAACCTAGAACAAGATAGCTAGAGGTGGTACAGCAACTTGTTAGGCTGGGAATGCTGGTGCATCTGCTGGAGATGGGTTACATGGCAACAGCCAATCAGCAGCAAGGAAAGCTGAATAACACTCTTGATTGGGTACTTGCAAACCTCCCTCAAAAAAAAATTGTAGAGGATACTTAACTCTTTCTGAAATTGCAGGGGTTTCCACGAACAATTATTAGTTCTAAGAAAAAATCTGCAAATGACTGAGGCCTCAAACTTCAAACCTCGACTTCATCAGAGTATACTGTACTAGGGTACTGGGGATGAGCCTAGGGCCTTTGTGTTTGCCTACATCCCGACCCTTTTTTTATTTCCTACTTTGTTACATGAGCCCAGTAAGTTGCCCACACTCAGTTTGAACATGTGATCTTCCTGTTTTAGCTTTCCAGAATTCTGGGATTACACGAATATACCACATTTAGAAATTACATTTTTAAAACTTTCAGCTAATTTGTATGGGTGACTTTTATGGATTGCTTTTTTTGTTTTGTGGGGGGGTTGGTTGTTTTTGCTTCTTTGTTTTCATTGTTTGTGTGGTTTGGCTTGGTTTTTTTGAGAGGGGTCTCACTATATAGATCAGGCTGACCTTGAACTCACTATGTAGCCCAAGCTGGTCTCAAACTTGCAATGATCCTCCTAACTCAGCCTCCTGAGTGCTGGGATTACAGGCATGAACCACAGTGCATCACTGTTTTAGGAGTAACTTTTGCTGTCTTTTTTTTTTTGGTACCAGGGATTGAACTCATGACCTTGCGCTTTCGAGGCAGGTGTCAGAACCACGAGCTAAATCCCCGGGCCCTTTAGGAATAACTTTTGAAATAACTTTTGTTCTCAGATGAGCATTAACTAATACAGAATAATCATTATGTTGACTATCTTTTAGTAGTAGTATAAGTCTTTTTTTTTTTGGTACTGGGGATCAAATTCAGGTCCTTGCACTTGCACAACAGGCAGCAAAACCACTGAGCTAAATCCTTGGCCCCTATGTTGACTATCTTTTAACTGTATCTTCTGGGACTCAATGAATGATTTAATCATATAATGTTACCTAGACATTAAAACATAATTCCAAATTTTCATGAAATGTAATATTCTTGCTGAGTGCAGTGGTGCATTTCTATAATCTCACCTACCCAGGATGCCAAGGCAGAAGGATCACAAGTTTAAGGCCAGCCTGAACTATATAGTGAGACCCTGTCTCAAAAAACCAAAAACAACAACAAAGGCAGGAGATGTAACTCAGTAATAAAGCACTTCTCTAGCATGCAAAAGGCCTTGGAGGCTGGGGATTTAGTTCAGTGGCACCGTGCCTGCCTCACAAGTGCAAGGTCCTGAGTTTGATCCCCGGTCCCAGAAAAAAAAAGGCCTTGGGTTCAATCCCCAGTATCGGGGGGGGGGGAGAAGTAATATTCTTTTGCTAATTTACCTTTTCTTTATTTCATGTAGTATAAATTTCAGTTTAGTATGTATCAGTAAGTTTTCTTATTGCCTGGCAATACCTTGTATCAGAATTATCTAAATATTTTTTAAAATATTAGTTCCTGATTTATAGTTGTGCCTATGACATTCAGCAAACATGCTTTCCATTTGTTTGACATGGAAATTAAGGTAAAGCAAAATGCTCTACTATCAACCATACCATAGGTTCCCTTGCCTTAGCTCCTTACATCAACACACTACAGGGCCGGGGATTTAACTCAATGGTTCCGGCACCTGCCTCGCTAGCTCAAGGTCCCGAGTTCGATCCCAGGTACCAAAAAAGAAAAAAGAACACACTACAATAGCCCATCCAGCAATTAGTCTTTCTAGTGATTACTTACCATGTGTGGTTTTATTTTAAAATTTTTATTAGTATATGTTTGCATTATATAATGACTACATTCATCAAGGGAAGTTGCTACATGTACATTGCACATATTATTTCTTTTTGTTTCCTCCATGTGTGGTTTTAGCTGGAATTGGACTCCAGGGAATTAAGAGAAAGTGTCACTACGTGAGCAATGCATAATTAAATTAGATTTGCAATTGTGCACATTAATCTCTCTGGTAGGTGTGATTACTTCTGACCCAGCTCACTTTTTTCTTTTCTTTTTCCTCACAGATTGATAGAGCTACATTCTCCTGATAGCAGGAACACATTGATCCTACGCTGCAAGGATACAGCCACAGCACATTCCTGGTTCATAGCTATCCACACCAACATAATGGCTCTCCTCCCACAGGTACTGGCTGAACTCAATGCCATGCTTGGTGCAACCAGTACAGCGGGAGGCAGCAAGGAAGTCAAGCACGTTGCCTGGCTGGCAGAACAGGTAGGCTGGGAGGCCGAGCAGGATTGCACTGGTCCCCATTCAGAGTCCGAATGGGTCCCCCATTGCTTGTATCTGTAATATTTATCATACTTCTATGTCTTGGGTACCCACCTTGCACAGCTTTTGTCGATTTTTTGTTTCTCCCTTGTTTTTCCTTTTTACCCTTAGCTTCTTGCTGATTATCACCTCCACCAGAAGAATTAACTGTCATGGTACTCACCATCACAATCCAACTAAAAGGAGGTTCTTATTACTGCCTTTGTCCTTACTGAGATAGGATCTTTTTTTTTCATCTCCAAATGTACAATTTTATTTTTTACCAGACTTGAAGAGCCACTTTTCACAAAGTGAGCAATAAGGATCCCTATTCATAGGACTTCTCAGTTTATTGCAAATTCATTTTTGCTGTTCAAAAATATTTTAAGTTCAAATATGCTTCTTTCCCTGTCATTTAAAAAAACTTTTCCCCATATATTTAAATAACGGGCAAATTATTTGACAAGCAAAATATATATTTATACATAAATGTAAAGTATAAATATTAAATTGAAAATATTAAATTTGAAGCAGAGGGCTGGGGATTTAGTTCAGTTGT